CACCTTAGGAAAGTGAGAGGCCATGTGAAATTACAGAAATTGATGACAACCCCAAGATAGCTGAGGTAAGAACTATTGATTAGAATCACTACATATCATCATACAGTAAACAAACATTGTAAAACAAGAGTTTTAAAGCCTTTTTCATGTACAGAAGTATAGTATGAGCATATATGGAAAAGAGATGACCAAGTAAAACTCAAGCATGAAAGAGGTTCTCACTATTTTTATTGGCTGGACAGGAATTTAAAGTTGATTTAATATTAGAAAATCAATTTAATATAATTTATTTCACTGACAAATGAAAAGAGAAAAATCATGTGACTATCTCAATAGCAAAAGAGAGTTAAAAAGATTAAATGGCCTTTTGTTATGTGAACTCTTAGCAAACTAAAAACATAATAGGAACTTCCTTAAATTGAAGAGTTTTTTTTTTTTTTTTTAAATTACAGCAAACATCATACCTAAGGGTAAAATGTTAATGCATTCTCTTTACTACAGAAACAAAATGAAGATGCTCGCTATTACCACTTCTATTCAACATTGTAGTTTAGGCCCTAGTCAATGCAGTAAGATAAGAAAAAGAAGTAGAAAGTATAAGACTGAAAAAAAAGAAACAAAACTGTCATTTCCAGATGATATGATTATCACAGATAAATTATTAGAATTAACAAGAGATTCTAACGAGTTTATTAGACACAAAATCAGTTTATAAAAGCGATTTGTATTTTTAAAAATCAATAACGGCTAGAAAAAGTAATTTCAAAAAATATTTTGTAGCGGCAATAAAAATATGTAGAATGCTGAGGAATAAATCTAACAAAGACATACAATCCATTTATGAAGAAAAATTAAACTTTAGTAAAAGATAATATATAAGACCTAGATAATGGGAATCACATACCATGCTCCTGGACAGGAAGACTCAATAGCATAAAGATGCCAAACAACCACAAAATGATCTACATAATAAATGTAATTCTAGTATAAACCTCAACAGAATTTTTTTTCATGGAACTTAATAACGTGCTTCTAAAATCTGTATGGGAGAAGGCAGGAAAGAGATTTAAAAAGTAACAATGAACAGATGGTCTAGAAAACAAATAGCAAGATGGTAGATTTAAACCTAACCGTAAAAATGATCCCATCAAATGCAAATGGTACACATACCTCAGTTAAAATAAAGAGATATTCAGATTGGATATAAAAACAAGATCCAACTTTATATTGCCTACTGAAAGTTCCTTTAAAAATAAAGACACTAACAGATTAAAAGTGAAAGAATAGAAAAAGATAACAAGCTAACATTAAGCAAAAGAATGTCGAATGGCCTGAAAACCCACCCAACGCAGCAAGCTCAGGCAATTGTAGACCTCTCCAGGGTCTACAATTTATGTCTCTCCAGGGTCACTGTCCTTTCTCGCCACTGTCTTGAAAACTATTATTTTAGATGTTGTGTCTGATTTTTGGTTGTTTTAGATGGGAGGGTGAATCTGATTGCTGTTGCTCCAACTTGGCCAGAAGCAGAAGTCTTTGCTGTACTTTTTTAAAAACCTGTTTGTTTTCTCAAGAATCCTAGGAGGGCACCCACTCATGAGAAGAATATGATGGGAGCAGAAGAAGCTCACATATATGTGAAGACTGTAGAAGGAAGTGAGGGGCCCGTGCGTGATACTTACCGTCCCACTGTAGAAACGGAGAGAAGGAGGGGACTGTGGTGGCTTGTGCCCAGACTGAGCCTGGAATGATGCAGCTCAGTCAAGGAACAGCCCTGGAGCTGGAACAGAGCTGAAAAACCAGAGTTTTGTGCTTGGAGTGGGGAGAGATGCAAAGCTGCTTCTTGACCAATCCAAATTTCATTGATAGATTTGGAAAACAATTGGGTTGATTTGTCTCTTTAGGGGACAGATCTGATAAGGTTCATTCCAACTCTCACCTCTTGTGGTTTAATAAGCAGTGAAGCCCAAGCGAAGTCACTGTGCATCCAGAAAAAGCCCTTGGGCCCTGTTCCTGAACACAGTGAGAATTCGCTTTTCTCTGTGATTTTGGGAAAGGGGCTTTATTTCTGAGTGTCTTGCCTTTTCATCTTTTTTTCACATCCCATTTCTCAGAAAACCACCAGACCTGGCTTCCATGGAAGGGTTGGCCAAGGTCAGCATGGTGCAAGTTAGGATATAAATGAAACTTAAGGGGACGTAAGAGGGGAAGCAGTTCCTTATTTCTCATCTCAGGGTGGAAAGCATGTGGAGCCACATGTTCCCTGACTATAGGGCAGCATGTGGCTGGATCATTCGTCACTCTCACTTGTGTCTGTGATCAGACAGTATTTAAGGAAGGCAGTTTTGCAATGGTGTGTGTGTATGTGTGTGTGTTGAGGGTGAAGAGTGTGGAAGGAAGGCAGAGGTGGTTTCAAATGATTATTAGAAATGAGGGCTATATCCATTTCGTGGGGGCGGGGAGAAAGGCCCAAGTCCTTGGACTATCCTGGGGGAAAACTCATTGTCAGAAAGAGAGATCCAAAAGACTCTGAATACATGAACACTGGACCAAAGGGATGGGCCAGGTAGCAGTGTGCCTGCCATCTAAGGGAAGCCTGTGGACAGTGTCAGCCTGCTCAGGCCAGGCCTTCATCATCGCTTCTGCGAGGAGGCTTCCAGGGGTCCTAGTTCCCCCACACAGGGCCGTTGTTTATGAGTAGGTCTGGTCTCCTGATGGGACAACTTGGTCCAGGGCATTTCAGAGGCCATCTGCCAGCTCCATGCACCACCTTGATATGCAGTGGGCCTCCGAGGAGCACCACCCCCCCCCACCCGCCTTTTCTTTAAATAACCAAGAACGGGTTCTATAAACCCAGTCACTACCATACGCTCACCCTTGCTTTTCAAAGTCCTATTTTTGTGCTAAGTCCCCTGGGTCCAGTGATCTTGACAAAGCAGATTTGGCCATTTTTAAGCAAATGTTCCTCATGATCCAGGTACTTGTACTTCTCTTACATGTTGGGAAAAATCTTGAATTTGCTGAGAACATGACTGTGACCTTGGCCCTGATGCTCATAGATGCCAGCTCTAGGTAGATTGTTGACAACTGGAAGCTTCAGCTCTGTCCCTACAAAATGTAGATAACAGTTTTTAACCTCCTACCCCAGGGAGGTTGTGAGGCAGGACTGAAATATGCGTGTGAATAAGACTTGGAGTCTATAAAGTGAGGTGTGATTTGTATTTTGAACCATTTATTTTAATTCTACTTATAATCTATCACTTAGAATATTTATTTCAAATGGTTTCTACTAAATTAGCAAGGTTCAGTATTTCTGTCATTTTTGTTGCTACAATACACAAGAACTTATTTTGGAATAAAGTGAAAAGTAAAATGGTTGTTCTTATGAACCTACAACGCGTCCGTGGTTTTTCTTTGCCTGTATTAAAGTACATGACATTGGCCCTGGGGTTGGAATCGAGGTTATTCCCGGGATATCCCTGGTGCTGGCACCGTCTCTGCTGGGCTTACAATGGAGCTGTTCAGCAGCCAGTAGTATTGTGAGGAAAACCCTGAGACCAGGAGTCAGAAGCTATGGTTCCCCATCCCAGGGCTGGTGCTAGCTTAGAGATGCTCTTGGGCCCAGTCACACAATGCGTTTTGGTCTCATTTCTTCATGTATCACCTGATGTTTGGACTGGCTTCTTTCTAAGGTTATATCTAACCGATTCAAACATTCTACTTTTATTTTTTCAAATCCTGCCAAGTACCGCCTTGCGCCTCTCTGCTCGCCACTCCCGTCAGCACAGCTTTCTGGACGCTGCGAGGTCTTCCTTAGCTCTTGGCTTTGCAGGGGAGAGAGATACTTATTTCTCTGGTGTTTTGACAATAAGCAACAGTTTTGCGTAGTTTTTCTTCTGGCATTTATCACTTTAATATTGTAATGCTAAGTAAAGACAACAATCATCAATGAATGACTGACTTTGGAAGCATTGCCTATTCATACAATCTTTGTACTCCCACCATTCTGGTGAGATTTATTGATTGATGCCTAAGTTAATTTAACTAACGTGCATGGTTTTCCACATATGTCAGATGATCTCCTACATCCTATGACAATATTGGGGATGCAATGAAAAAGCTAAAGGCAACTGAGTTTTCTGGAAATGTCTCTCCACCCAAATGAACATGGAGTCTCCTATCTGACCAAGGAAATACTATCAGGAAAGCTTTCATTGAGGTGTTTTCCTTCTAGGCTCAAAGACATAAAATAGGCTTGCCTGGATGTAAGTATTACTATGCCCATTTTACAGATGAGAAAACCGAGGCTCTACAAAGGTGATTTTATTGGTCCTGGAAATTGTGAAGTAAATTGTTTTGAAGAACGATTTGTTTGCAGGAAATGAAGAGCTAAGAATAATGAGTTTAATCAATAATTGGGGAGGGTTTCTGTACTATTATGGAGTCTTTTGATATACATGCTAGAAGGAAGAGTTTGAAATACTTACAGTAACATGAATTGATTGATAAAAAGTACAGTCAAAACAGATAAAAGCGACCTCCACTATGGCCCCCATCTGTCCCTAGGAAGTAAGGGTCAGTGAGTACCCAGAGTTCACCCTAAAGTAGCCCTTGGCTTCCACCAGACCAGGACTTTGCCTCTTGTTACCCTCAGCCTGGTGCCTAGAGAGTTTCAACTGGTGTAGCCAGTGCTGGCTAGGCCCAGGCAGCCTTGGGTTTGGGAGTCCAAGAGCCAGGACACTGGAGCTAATCTTCACCACTTCTTGTTCTGGCTTCAGGGCCTTGGTACTTACTGGTGGTACTCAACAAGTACAGTACTGACAGTGTTCTTTGATGTCTCTTCTCCCAAGGTAATTATTAACTTGTTCCTTGATCCTTCCCAATCCAGAGGATCTCAAATCGAGCACTTTACAGCATTGCCTCACTTAATCCTCCAGCAGATGCAAAGAGAAAACCCATTGTCATCTTGATTTCACAAAAGAGGAAATTGAGGCTTGGAGAGGTTAGATAACTTATCCAAGGTCACACATCCAGTAATTAGGGGATGCCAGCCGGGGTGCATATCCTGCGTTGAATTAGCAAAAGCTCTGGCATTAACTATGCAATGTTGGGCAGACCAGTATCTCTTTTTTGACCTTGGTTCCTCATCTGTAAAACGAGGGGGATGGACTATAAGGTATCCAAGGCCCTGCTCGATATTCTTGGGCTTCTTACTTGATCTGCCATGATCTTGTTGTACGTGCTGCCAAAGGTTCTTCTGTTTGCCACCAGAGGGTGCCCTGCTCCCAAAGCAGGAGGCACTGGAGAAGGCTGAGTTCCACTAACTTGTCACTATCCTAACTGATAAAAATCCAGCCCAGTGCAAACAACAGTGTGGATCCAAATTCTCCCATTCTTCCAATTGCTAGGATCCCTCTTTCTCTGCGAAGTCTTCCTGGCCTTCTCACCCACAAGGCTCTCTCCTGTTTCTAAGCCTGTATTGCCCATCTTATCCTCTAGGTGGCAGCCCTCCTACGTTTGTGCTGACCAGCAGTTTATCTCTGGCATTACCATTTTGTTCAGTTTTCTTCCCTTGTTTTCCAGTCCTCTCTTGGAGAGAGGCTGATATAATGAAGGAGAGGTCTGGATTTCGGACATCAAGACCTGACCTCTCGGTTCCGCGATTCCTGCCTCGGCAGCTCCGATCTTCTAATGAAAACTGTTTCGCCCCTCGAGAAAAATCTTAAACTCTTTATTTTTTTTTATTTTGTTACATTTTTGTTTAAGAGCATTTTATTATAGTTGAGTAACAAAAAGAAGACTGCACCATCTTGTGTCCTTCTATTTTTTAATGGAAATATACAGCATTTCAGCTACACTGTGGGCAAAATGGGCTTTGATGAGTGTCTCTGGAAAAGAGCCACCAATTACGACATGATTTCTATGGCAAGATGCATTATGAATTCTAAGCGACAGTTGTAGAAATGGCGTATTTGAGCACAATATTACTAGGTGGTGCCTTATCATGTTTCCCAAACTATTATTTCTCGGAGCAATCTGCATTTCAGTAAGACTTAAAGAATCCCCTAAGGCCTCTTCCACTATAACATGAAGCATAATTTATTTAACCCAGAAACAAACAAACAAACAAACAAAAACAGCAAAAAACGTCGATAAGTTTTTCTAGGCATTTCTTTCCCATGGGTCAATGTAATCCAATCCCAGATGCGCAAAAATTTCTTCTTCACTTTCTGCTTTGAGAAATACCCTCTGAAAGCATAAGAAGAAATATGTGTATTCAGATATTTTTGCTAAGCATTTCAGCGCTGACATAGTGAAATTTTTACCTCTAAAACTGTCTTGTCAGAATGAATTATTGCCAAAACACAATTCCTTGCTTCTGAGTAGAAAAAGTCATCTTAACTGACTTCCGTAATTTTTATATTTTCCCATCCCAAAATATGGCACTTAATAAATCAAAGTGAAATAGTGATAGCTTTATGTATGTAGTGAAAGGCACTTGGTATTTTTCCTGTGGGTCTGTAGATCTTCACCACAGTTGTTCATTAAAACCACCTGAAGAAGTTTTTTTTTAAAAAAACATGGACTCTTGAGCTATACCACAGTCTAATGCAGTCAAAATCTCAGAGTTCATGGCATCAATTTATTTAAAAGCTCTGGGTCATTCTGATATGCAGCGGTATTAAGTACTGCTGCTGGAGGAAATGAGGAGTGGCAATTATAGGACACTTGCACGTGCTGAGTTCTCCTCCTGGCCTTCCACACCTGCCCTCACCCCCACCAGGCTCCCGCCCTAGGATCTTTAAGAGCCAGCACCACTTCTCTTTCATCCCTTCTTGTCTACAGCACAGTGTTGCGCACACAGGAGACACCTGCCTACGTTGAACTATTTACTCTCTATCAGTCCTTAAATATTCCTAAATGGGATTATGAGAATCTGCCTCCACTGACATGCTCGACATCTGAGGCCTTCCTGCCAGCATCCACAGCCCTTTATGCCGACAGCAATGCCTTGACTCTTCTTTGGGAATCCCCTTCTTTCAACTACAAGCTCCTGGATGGCAAAGACTATTACTTTTGTTTTATGTCACCTTTCCCCCCAGAGCTTAGTTTAGTGTCCTTGACCACTGTCAGAACAGTAGACCTTGGTACTTGTGGATTTAACAGTTGAATATTTAACTTTTCATAATTCACAGAGTAATTTATCATTTTGCTGACACATGAATCGAATCATGACTGCAAGTCTAGCACACCAAATGAGTCACGTGGCTGGTGAGTGACCACTCAGCTACATCTCAGGGCAGCTCTGTTGCTCTCCTTTGTGCAATAGATTCTCATTAATGACCTAGTGTTCACTAAAATGCTACTGTCTACTGCATTTGAGAGGTGCTTGGGTAGTATTTGTGATTTGAGGGGGACGGATCTTTTTCTTTGGAGTTACTCATTGCAAACACCAAGGGTATACCAAATTCAATGTTCACTGCTGGACTGGTTCTGGGGACCCTACGCGCTCATCATCTTTGAGCCCAATGCCCCTGGGGTGCATTCTGGGCCAGGTAGGGGCTGTGCTCCTGTCAGGATCTTTCCAGTGGCCCTCAGCTGTGATCTGTGGCAACAGGACACTCAGGGCAAAGGAAGCTAAACCTGGACATTAAAATCAGTTCAGGGAAAGTGCTCAGAGAGCCAGCTTTGGGGATGAGGATCAAAGTGGCCCATGTCAGGGAGACAGCTCTACCTTGGTCTTGTCATATAAAGCGTGGTTATCCAGTATCATCTTCCGCTCGTGTGTGGCATAGCGTCGGAGGTCTCTCTCAAACTGCTGGAGAGAGAGAACTAAAATACGTTACTATCAGGTCCAGGATATCTTCAGTGTTACATGTTTAGAGATATCTAAACCCCTATAAAGAAATATCTATCTCATTGTTAAACATTCCACTAAATGGGGTTAAACTCCACTAAACATTCTCAAAGAGATTTTCTCCCCAGGGCAAAGCTCTGAGATGACAGAGCTCCATACTCATGTGCACGCACTAGAATGTAAGCTCAGAAAGCAGAAATTTGATTTTGTTTTGTTCGTAATTATATTCCTCTTCAAATACGCCTGGCACATAGAAGGTATATGGCAAATATTTGTTGAATGAGTAAGTGAATACTGTGAGGATTGTGTCCAGAATAACATCCAGTCCAGAGTAAATGCTGGGTAAATAATAGTTTGGAATATCACTATTGTAAATGAGGATGAGGAGTCAGGAGACCCAGATTCCAGCCTGGATTTCGTCCCTATCTGGCTGTGCATCTCTTGACAAGTCACCAGACTCTGAATCTTGGTTGGTCAAACAGGAGGGCGAAGTAAGTGCATGAAGTCACCCCTGGCTCTACCATCCTCTCATCTGAGATTCTATAGAACTGATGTTCTGAGCCACCTGTCCTGGATTAGCATGTCCTATGACAAGGAGTGGAATCTGAGGCTGCAGAGAGCAACACCTGAAGCCTAAGCTAGAGAACAGGAAGACCTTGGAAAAGGAGGATGGTGAACGAAGTTGTCACTGAGGTTGGTTTTCCTGGGAGAAGCATAGATCTAGAAATACCGTCCTTTTCCACGTGGGAGTGGGGAGAAAGCGTGGGGTAATTGCTCCCTCCAGTGGCAAGGAGCCATTTCCCACTAACAGGAAAGCCAGCTGAGGGTGGGAACTGCCCTTCTAGACCATCACCTGGCTGTGTGAGAAGGCAGATTTCCCAACCAGAAGTCCTTTACAATGCAGCAGAGGGGAAGCCAGGTCTGTGGGAGAACTGAGGTGAAGCAGACTCTGCGTACTGTAGCTGCTGGTCTGCGAAAGTAGCGGGTGCTGCTTAGCACAGGGCCTCCTCCCCAGCCCTGGGTCACTCTCCTTCTGTCCCCCCAGCACTTAGAATAGTGGCTGCTCTCACTGTGTGTTGGGGAGTCTGGAGAGGAGGGGATAATGGGAACAGTGAGCGGCCGCCATTGGCTCTCCAGTTCTGTGTGGTGAGAGATATTTTCCTGAATTCCTCTGCTAAAAACTCAGGAGCATTTCCTCATAGATTGTTAGGGATTATAATGAGGTCTTTCACTTGGAGACATATTATTTACTCAACAAATATTTATTGAGCATCTACTATATGCTGGGTGTGTTCTGGGTGCTTGAACAAAGCAATGATGTCTACCCTGGTGGGGCTGGGATTTGAGCAGGGGACATAGACAAGACACAGTAACAGAATAAATAAATTATATGATATGTTTAAAAAGCAAGCGCTGTGTACAGGGCAGGCCTCATTGAGAAGGTGGGATTTGAGCAAGGGCTTGAAGGAGGTAAAGGAGTTATCCAAGTGGATTCTGGGGGAAGACCACTCCAGGCAGAGGAAACTGCTAGAACAGAGGCCTTAGGGTGGGGCGAGCCCAGCCCCTTTAGGGAGAGAGCAGTAGCAGAGAAGTTGGGAGAAATAAGGGGGTGGGAGGATGAAGCAGGGCCTCGTGAACCACTGCAAGACCTGCGGTGTTTACTCTCAGTTAAATTAGGCGCCCCTTGCAAGGTTTTGAACAGGGAAGTAATCTGATCTCACTTATGTTGCAACAGGATCACTTGGCTGTAGAGGGCAGGGCCGAAGTAGGGAGACCAGTAGAAAGGCCATGGCAATAATTCGGGCAACGATATCCTAGTTAACATCTATGGGGAGCTAACCCCATGCCAGGCACTGGAATGAGTTCTCGCTTAATATTAATTTTCTGACATGCTCTATTGTGGCTGGTACTTAACAGCTTCTAAGAGAGCGTCATGTCACTTCTTAAAGAACAGTTTAAAGTACATAATTAGACTCAAAATTGTGTTTAGATGAAAGCACCATCTCATTTAATCCTCATTATAATTCTGCAAAGTTGGTGCTGTTATTAGCCCCGTTTTTCAGATAAGGAAAGAAGGCCCAGAGAGTCTAAGTAATTTACCAGAAGCCACACGGCCAGTGATAGAGTTAGGACTCAGACTCCTGAATCCCAAAGCTCAGTTTCTTTCCCTGGTCAGTTCTGCCTTCTGCTTTAAAATTTCTAGCTTCTCACAGCGACGCCATGACATAGGCAGGGCAAAGCTGTTGCTTTATGTTTCAGATGAAGGAAGCTGAACATCCAGCAGAGGTGATGGTACTACAGTCTGGCTGTATCATCGGTCACAACAAACTTCAGAGGCTGGCCCAGGGTTGCTGCATACAGTTGCACAAGTTGTGCACTGTGAAACTCTAGAAGGTGCCAATCACATTTGTAGTCTTTGTACAAGTGCATATTTATTATGACAATTTTCTGGAAAATGGCAGAAAGGTATCATAAGGAAGAGATGCTTTTTAAAGTTGGTGAAGGGATGCCATCTGGGCTAGTAAAGAGTCTGGCTGAGCCAAGGTACCTGGCCACAGTCATCTATGTGTTTCCATGACTTCTCCCAACATCTGACACAAACACAGACAATACTCTTGAAGGAATCTTGGCAAATGAAGTCATACTGACAAATTAAGCAGATCTGTTTGGAAGAAACATGATTCAGAGGAAAACAGAAGTTTCTTTTGGTTTTTAACTTATGAATACCAAGTCCAGAGGTTGCACCATACCTAGATGGCTCTAGAACATTTCATGTGCCCCTGTGCATGTGTCCTGCTTGGGAAATCGTTAGGCTACCACATCCTAAGGAAGCTTTGTCAGCTTAGTTGATCAGACAGCTTGGTAAATTAATGACCCCAAGCTGAAGCGAGATTCTCAGATGACTTGAATTGTCTTGAGAACATTTCCCAGGCACAGACATCTTTGAGTAAAAAGGTGAAATTGAAGTTCTCACCTATAAAATTTTAGACTAGACCTAATCCCGATCACCCACCAACATGCATCCACGTAGGGACAAAACACACCCCCTTCGGTGGTTGCATAAGGGGGGGCATAAATATAATAATGCAAGTAGCTACCATTCGCTGAGCCCTTACCACATTGAAATACGCGCGGCATCTCACCGAACCCCGATGACAGCATTAAGATGTGGGCGTCAAGAGAGGTGGAGCAACTGGGGCTTGAAGAGGTTAAATAATTTGTTTAAAGTCACCTAGCTGAAAATGGCATGCTTAGTGTCGTGTCAGTGCCCGCAGAAACAAGAGCGGTAATTTCTGAGACACCAGAGAAGAAACTGAAATGTGCTGGAAACGTGCCTTGTGTTAAAAACAAAACAGACAAAGGGCAACCATTTCCGCCATTGGCATGACCTTGGATAACCTCAGATTTCGTTTTGGAACTCTTCCCTTTCTCAACAGACTGTGATCCCAGAGATTTATGTCTGTCAAAAAAACTGCTCGTTAGGGAACCACACTTTGAGAATAACTCTTCTAAATTAATCCGTCTCACTTGACCATGTGCAGGCGGAATGCCTGATTTAGAGGTTTCTGGGCATTGCCCCCTCCCCTATCGCCTGTCCCTACTGCCACTGTCACTCCTCTAGGCCACTGACCCCACTGATCCAGGTAGCGCTTACCCGGGAGCCGGTCCAGCCCAGCAGAGCGAAGGCATGGCACTCATAGGGGCACACGACCAGGTCCACGCGGATGGCCTTCCAGGTCTTTCCTTCCTGCTGGCTGGAATTGTCACTTTCTACCCTCTGATGGTACAATTTTAAAATCAGAAAGCATTTCTGGAAATGATCTAAAGCATCCACCTTCCTGCTAGGCAATTTTAACTTTTCAAATGTCGACTCCACAAGATCATAGTATAAAATCAATCCCTGAAAACAAATAGAAAGATGTCAGAAAGAATCCTTGCTTGCCAGGGTCTGCAATTTTACACTGGGCTCCAATGAAAGCTCCTAACAAACGTTTTACAGATTTGAGCAAAACATGGCTGTTTTTTCCTGTTTGTCAAGTTCCCTCACCTGGCACACAGCCTGGCTCTCTGGCAGAGTTTAAGAACTAATCATGCATGAGGAGAGATTATGATAAAGCCACCATTTATTAGGCATTGATTAGGCACTGCACCAAGTGCTTTATCCAATTCCATCAGTTAATCCTCTCCATTAATGAAATAAAGACAGATTTGTTATCCCTGTTTTAAGGTAAGGAAAGAGAACCTTGGAAAAATTAAGTAAAGCATCCCAGGTCAGATGGCCAATAAGCGGCAGCGTTGTTTTGAAAATCCCAAATATAAAACCCACGTGCTTAATGTCAGCCTCCACCAGTGCCTGACCATTTCTTTGCTGGGGAACCATCGGTAAGACTGCTTAAAAGCTGAGGAAAGACCGATGAGAACAAGGCTCCCTGTCACCATGTCCCCGCCCCATCCCCATCTTGGACTGGGACAGTCTCAGAGTATGAGAAGGGTGGTGCCTACAAATCAAGGCCAAACCAAGGTTTTGCAGGAGCCCCAGAGTGGGGAACCAGGCAGCCCTGTGTCCACCCAGGCCTCAGCTAGCAGGGTCCACGAGTTGTGCTGTCTATCCATGAGAATTTTTCATCTTTCCTGCTTGAGCAAAGCAGTAGGGCTTGCCCAGGTGTAGCTAATGCTTCTTTGTCCTGCCTTTTCCTGACCTGACCTATTACATTCACTCTTGGGTCCCCCTCTCCTGAGAGAGACAGAGAGGGCTTGGGATGGCCTCACAGGAGAATTTGGATTCAGTTCCAAAGTTGGGTCTTCACTTCTGGCACTCTTGACTCTGGGGTTGCGTGTCTCTAACTCTTATTTTCACGTTATCTGAGGGCCTCTCTCTCTGGTGCATCAGGGAGCTTGGTCCACTCCCAGCAGAAGCTACATCACTCAGGAAGGATAAAGCTGTGCTATAAAAACGCTAGCCCCAGCCCTCTCCAGGTCACGGGAAGGGTCCCCTGGTCTCTTTGGGAAGTAGAGCTCCCACTAGAGTCCGGCAGGAGTCAGGGCTCTGCAGGTGGCTCTGGCCACAGGGCCATCCTTTGCTTCCTCCAGTGGGCAATAGGTGGCCTGTGGAAAGTCTGATGTCCTCAGTGGGCGGGGGCCCCTGAGCCATGACCTCTGCTGAGCCCAGCTTACACTCATTAGTTTCCTTCTTTCCATCTCAGCACAAAGTCAAGGTGGCCATTGACCACCAGCATAGAGTTTGAGGAGCCAGAGATACATCTCAGACTGATTTTATCCCAGTCTTAGCCATCCTGCCTGACCTTGACCCTTGCCCTGCCCCCTGCTCATACCTCCCAGGTCTTCACAGTGCCTTCTCTTCATTCTGTTTAGGGGTTGAATGCTTCTGCATGTCCAATGCAGAGACAAAACCATCTCAGCCCATTTAGTAACAGAAAAGTGTGTATAAACAAGATACATATTCATAACATGGACTCTAGGACTCAAAGTGGGTACATCTCACTGTATATCATGTGGCATTGTGTTAGCTATTGAAAATAATTGAGCATCAATTAGGTGGCCATTATACAGTTATGAAGTGAATAGTGTACAAAATTCAATGGTGTTAATATAATGCTTGAGTGTCCAAACATCCACTTTTGATCTTTCCTCTTACCTTCCTTTCCCATAAGTTCATCACTTTAGGTAAAAGTTGTTGTTCATCTTCCTCTGTTGATCCTGGGCTGCTAATTAAAAAATCTACATCATGCCCAATCTTCTTACCCCTGATTAAAAAAAACAGTATAACATGGAAATAAATTAGATTTTGAGCTTTCAATTTTAAAAGTCACCTTTGTTTCTATGCCCTCCCCTTAAGGTTTACAACACAAAATGCTCATGACATTTTTTTGAACAAAATATCCTTGGTTGCACAACTCTACTTCTTGCAAAATAAATTCATGACACAGAAACAATAAGAAATCATACATAGTATGTATATAATTATGTGAGTAAAAAAGACACAAAATATTATTTCTTCTATACACTCACACATGCACCCTCCACACACACACACACACACACACACACACACACACACACTCATAGACAAGCAGGACAACAAGCAAACCAAAAATATATTCACATAATATAATTAGTGGGGAAAGCATGCATGAGGAAGAAAGAATCGAGGAAGGCTTCCTGGAGGAGGTAGCATCTGAATCGAGTCTTAAAGGATGAGAAGTCAGCCAGATGATGATTTGAGGAAAGCCAGTTCAAACAGAAGTGTCCTCTGAGCAAAGTCACAGAGGCAAGAAATAGCTCCGTGTGTGCAAAGAATGACAAGCCACTGGGGATTGCTGGAGTGAAACATGAAGTGTCGGAGATGAGGGTGCAGGGAGAGGCTGGCGCCAGACCACCAAAGGCCTTTTGTGCCATGTTCAGTACTTTCAGTCCTGAACGTGGGGATTCACTGTAGATGTCAGAGGAGAAGAGGTGAAGGTAGCCCTTGTTGTTTACCTCCGGAATCCTCCTGTCACAGTGACGGAGGCGTCAGGCAGAAATGCCGAGACAGCTTCTTTAACCAGCACGCTGACCGCTTCTGCTTCTGCCCTGGTCACACAGCTGACAAGGTCATCATAATAGAGGAATCCTGAGAGGCATTGGACACGTCAGTGGATAGAGCGACACGTCTTGTGTGAATGGACCAGCTCTCAGTGGGAGGGGATTCTGCCCCAAGTAAGAGCTAATGTGGCCATGAGTATCAAAAACAAACCGTTCCACAGAGACCAGTTGTTTCTATTCTCTTGGTTGTGAAATTTTCATGGTAACAATGCTCTTTACTTTCTGACTGAGAGGCTTATAATGCCCTGATTAAGAAAGAGACAATATTTCATATCCCCGTAGAAACCAAGCTGTTCAAATCCAAGTTCTTATTGAAGTACCAGCCCTCTTGATCAATAAGTTGTGCCTTTTTACTTAAAGAAGACAATGCAAAATGATCTGAGATGGGAAGATTCAGGATTGGAAGGTAATAGATGAATTAAAAAATTAGTCAAGAATAAGAAGAGGGTAGATTTGCATTCTAGAGCTCTGCTGTAGATCATTGTACATATGGTTAACAATACTCTCTGCACACTTAAAATTTGTTAATGTTATGTGGATCATAGGCCTAAATGCAAAAGTTAAAAAGAATCAGACTTCTGAAGGAAAACAGGAAAATATCTTAATGATCTCAAGTGTAAGTAAATAGCTCTAAAACAGAGTGGGAAAACCCCTAGCTATAATGAAGAGATTGATAATTTGGATTTCATTAAATATAAGAACTTGGGCTAATCAAAGGACATTATTGAGCAAGTGAGGAGCAATCTACAGTCTGGGAGAAGAGATTTAAATATCATCTGTCTACTCAAGGACTTACAGCCAGAACATAAACTAACTCCTACAAATCAATAAGTAAAAGACAAAATGACCCACTTAAAAAGGGAGAAAGACTTGAACAGAAACCTCTTGGAAGAGGAATTGTTCCCTAAAGCACTTGTAACAGTCATTAGAGAAATGCAAACTGAAACGACAGTAAGATAACACTACTTACCCAGAGGACAAACAAAACAGAAACGTTTGACAATAGGAAGTGTGGGTGAGGATGTGGAACAATGGAAAAATCTCATACGGTGATACCGGGCATGTAAAATGGTTCGATCACTTTGGAAAACTGTTAGACAGTATCTACTACAGCTAAATAAGTAGCTAATTATCCTCTGACTCAGCACTATTTCACTCTCAGATACTCACAAGAAAAATGAGGACATATATATCAGCAGGTACAACAATGTTCATAGCACTTTTTTTTTTTTCATAATAACCCAAAACTGGAAATAATTCAAATGTCCATGGACAGAAAATGAATAAATAAGTTATGGTACCAATGGGTAAGAAGTTGCTAAGAAGATGGATCTCATGTTAAGTATTCTTACCACAATAAAAAAATTAATTTAATAAAATGAAATACATAAAATATTCATGTGAAAACATAAAAAGAAATGCTTCATTAGGCTCTTATTGATACAAAATTTTTCATCAGGACTGATATTCACAGCACAACTTACTTGATAACCATACGGCTGCTGTGCTTATTCGGGATGCACATATACCAGAAGTCACGGTTAACCGTTTCTTTAAGAACATGTACACACATCAGGTATGACATGAAGAGAATGCAATAATTTGTCGACACCCATGAGAGCGATTTAATTGGCTTTCTTGCTTTCCTTTTTGGTACGGTTGGGGAGGTTAACTTATTACCAGAAACTTATTACACCTGAGTAATGTTATTTATATGTGTGCTGTTATATTTCAGACTGTTCAAGGCCAATGTGGCATGTGAATCCTCAAGCCTCAGGGAACTAAAACCAAGTGTGATTATAAGTAAAACTGAATCAGGTTTTCCATCTGACCTGTGGATCATACTTTCACCGTGTTCAATTAGCTTATCCTCTGTGGCAGGGGTCTCTAACACCCAGGCCTCTGTGGCCTCTTAGAAACCAGGCTACACAGCAGGAGGTGAGTGGCCAGCAATGGAGCAAAGCTTCGTCTAGCATCACTGCCTCAGTGCCACCTCAGATCATCAGGGATTAGATTCTCATAGAAGTACCATCCTGGTGCCAAAATGGTTAGGGACCACTGCTCTGTGGTATTCTAAACTATTCCCATTGACAATTCCATTCATTATACAGTGCTGCTAAAGGAATACATACATCCAGGGGTTTTAAGCTGTAAGTATGATAGGAAGGCATTCCTAGAATTCTGTATAAAATAAGAGTTGCTTGTTTTTTATTTTATCACTTAAGCAGAAGAGAGGTTTTGTTTGTTTGTTTGTTTGTTTGTTTCTGGTGGTCTTTTGTAGAAGATTCCCTTACTTTAATATCATTAAAAATGTGGATGACTTTATCATTCTTTGTAACTCAGAAACCATACTGGCTTTGACTCCCTTTCAAATACCAATTATATTGTATTTCTATTGCATATCAAAAGCAAACATTTAAAATGTGTAAAATTTTTTTTTTTGATCCTATATTGACATTTCTTTATTTCTAAAAGTGGGACCCTCCATAAATGGTTGTGACCAAGCCACCTTCAACCTCCAGGACGTGCTGCCAGGTTTTCAGGTGTCTATGTCAACACTTCTCAGGTTAACAAGTCCAGCAGGGTAGATGAATCCTGTGTCTAGATTTCTACCATTTCCCTTCTATGTCCTGATGTTTTACAGTTTTTAAAGCAGATCCATACTTGTTCTGGGCAACAACTCTAGTTAGTTCAAATATTCTTTACACCCCAAACCTCCATGTGAACTCTCTCATCCATGCCTCTATCCCAACTGGGACCCAAATGCTCAGAAGGGACAGTTCAGTAAAAATTAGATCAACATTGCGACCTGATTTGACATCGGAACATAAAAGAATGACGACAGCCACCACGAAGAGTGTATTCGGCCTGTGCGTTAAGCATTGGTACCTATTTCAGTACCAATGTCATCTCCCTTTTATAGATGGGGTGACTTAGGCTCAAAAGTTTTAACGAATTTGCTCAAGTTGACATAACTGGAGCCAGGATGTAGATGCAGGTCTGTCTGATTCTGAAAGTGTGTGCTTTTAACCATAGCATGAAAAGAGGCCCCACAAGTGACCCAGCTCACCAAGAGTAGAGTTGAAATTCAACTGACTTAGAGCTCTACTACAACCTGCCCAGCCCATGGGAACAATGGAAGATTTTTAGGAGAGATAATTTACCTGCTTTCTGCATTTGTGTGAATTTCAGGGTTTTGTCCGACCTTATTTTACTCAGGCTTCTGAAACCCATCCTGAACCATTTCTCAGATGTCTTCAATCCCACTCCAAATACAGAAGTAAATAGCTGAAACAAAGGGAAAGGCACACTTTTAGTTTCTAAAATAATCATTATGGCAATGAAGTGATACTTTCAAGGTCCAGAGATTAAAAAAAAGTGTAAAGTTTTTAGAGACGTTTTTGTTTCAGAAGGGTCCTTCCCTGATAAATGAAACAAACATGAGAAGCAAGTTCTGCATAGGGCTTCTGTGTAATCTGATTGTGTGATGGCCTGTGCTGTCACTGTGTGACAACGGCTATCTCTATTAGGTATTTCCCCTTGCCAAGAGTTCCTTACACACACTCATGCTCTGCATATTTATCCTTGCAATTTAAAGAGGGAAGAGCATGTAGGTTGTCTAAATTCTCCACCATCACGCAGCTGGAAAGTGGCAGAGCCCAGACTCAAACTCGGTCTGTCTGTACTCCATGGCTGGGCTCCTGCCCATGACCACCTTTTAGGCCTATGCATCCCTTCTGAAGGCACTGGCAGACGTCCCTGCTGCCTGCATCTCTAAGGTAGGGAATATTGAGAGGTAACGAACTCTGCTTCAAAGTAGATGAGGATGCAGTGAGTCGCTTTCCAACACAGATTTGCTCTTTAAGAGCCTATTTGTTTTGTCCCACGGTTCTGGTGTCCCCATTATATTTGTACCCATGAATGACAGACTCCTGGAAGGTAAGGTAATTTGTATCTTACCATAGCATGGCAACAAGATCGAGCATTAAACATCTGCTTCCTAGACCACTGCTGTAGACTGAATGGCACCTCCCCCTCTTCCTAAATCCATATGCTGAAGCCCTAACCCTCAATATAGCAGTGTCTGGAGATGGGATCTTTGGGAGGTAAGCAGGTTTAGATAACGACATGAGGGTGGGGCCCTAATGATAGAATTAGTGCCCTTGTAGAAAGAGGCGCTAGAGAGCTTATGCTCCCTCTTTGTCATGTGAGGGCACACTGAGAAGGAGGCCATCTTCAGGCCAGGAAGAGGACCCTAACCAGAACCCAACCACGCTGGCACCCTGATCTCAGACTCCCAGTCTCCAGAACGGCAAGAAAATAAATATTTGCTTTTTAAGCCACCCAGTCTATGGCACTTTGATAGGGCAGCTTGAGCTGACTAATAAAACCACCTAGAATAAGCAATAGAATTAAGTGAAAAACCATTTTCGATGAATATATGTAAAATCACTTACTTTGAAGGACTGATATCGTTCATCATTTAACACAGCTTTAACTTCAGAACTTTCTCCATCTTCAATAATTTCCTACATGAACAATTGAAAAATATTTTAAATTAATGATGTTGGACAATCACAGTCCAAGACTCCCAAACTCATGATCTGGTAGCTTGATTAGAGGATATCCTCAGGAATAAAAGTACAAAATGATTCGGGTCCAAATCTGCAGAACACCAAACCAGAATATTCACTGACAAAAGTGTGTCTAAATATTTGAGATACTTTTTTTCAATGGATATGAGCTTCCTGAAACAAGAAGACTCTTCATCTGAGTGGGTTCATTTTGGACCCGTTGAAAAGCCAATTCAAGTTCAAACCCTTATGATGTTTAGCTCAGAGCTACCCACTCTCCTCTAGATAGAAATAGGATTATTTTTCTTGAATAATTTACCTTGCACTTGACTGCACTGAAACATACTCCTAAATGACCAACTTGCCTTGCTGGGGAATCCTTCAACACCATTTATAAATAAACACCCACCCCTGGCTCTCTTTCTGAAACATATACACTGAAAAGCAGAATCAGCTCCACTGCCCGTTATACCCACTACCGTTTTGCGGGGTGACGTCCCCTGACGAAACTGAAGTCCTTCACACAGCCTGTGTTTGAAGTCAGACCATCCCCTGATGTCAAGCTTTTAAGTCACCTGAGATTTTCACTGAGATTAATAATAATACAGGAGAGTTCTTTTTCCACTTAGCTGGCCCCACATAGCTCCAACTGTGAAAATATTGAGGTATGGATTCTATCCATCTATTATCTCTCTATCGATCTATCGTCTGTCTGTCTATCTAACCATCTATCGTCTATCCACCTATCTATCTATCTATCTATCATCTATCATCTATCTAATCTATCAAGAGAAAGTAAAGTAAGCCATGAATACATCCATATAGTTGACAGGAAAATCTATTCTCTCTCTCTCTCTCTCTCTCTCTCTCTCTTCTCTCTCTCTCTCTCTCTTTCTCTCTCCTTTCCTACATATCTCACTACCTACCTATTAGGAGATGTGACAAGTCACATTTCACCCTTACCTCTATGATATACTTTGCTTTGTCCCCCAGGCAAGGAATTCCTTCTGTGTCCTTCATACTGGTGATTGTGAATGGCAGAGATTTAAGTACAGAAGCTGCTCTCATAAATACCAAATAGAAGACTTCATTTTCTCTAAACTCACAATTTTCAGCCAGTACCTCAAAGGCATCCTGAAGAATAGAACCAGATGAGGAGTAAAACACGGTCTATGTTTTGTCCCTGAGCCAGTGGACACTTGCAAACATCTCTTGCTCCCCTTTAAGCATTGGAACACCACCTGGTCAGGATCCGGTCTTCAGTACCTTTGTGCCCCTCCCTTGTTGGATGAAGAGAGTCGAATTGAAAAGATAGACCACAAAGTGCTTTGTAAGGAAACCGAGTTCATTGCCATTAGATATTCAGGAATGATTTAACCAAAACATGGTCTTGTGCTCACTGTATCCTACTAGTCATTACTCAGTGTGCTCCTTCTCTCTTTGCTTGCCGACCCTCCCACCAGCATGTGGCCAGGATTCTACCTCGATCACTAATATCCTCATATCTTAGCTAGTACATAAAACATGGTCAGCGCTTAACATAGACTTGTCGAAATGAGAGGTACACACCCAAGGCTGGAATTATTTAAGGTAGGGCTTGTTTGCACTTCTAGCAGAGAAAGAGCAGCTGCAGCTGTGTGGCATCGTGCTCATGGTGGCCAGTAGCGGCAATTTCCTAGGGCTGGAAGGCTAGAAATGAGAAGTTTTGTATTTGATATACTACTGCATGTTTTATTCACCTGACTGCAGGCTGAAGGATGAGCAGTTATGGGCTCGTTAGGATCATTTGAAACACAATTGGCAAACCGCAGGGCTGGATGGGGCTTTAGAGATGATCTAGCTAATTTCTAATTGACTGGATGAGGGAACTGAGGCTGTGAGAGAGGAATTAACTTACCCAAGCTAATTAATATCAGAAAAGCAAGAATCTAGGTCTGCTGTCTCCCAATTTTTTGATTTCCCAGCAAAGGCTGTTTATGCCTAATTGCTATGTTTGTGTAATTTGTTCTTATTATGTTCTGGACTAACTACAGTATTTGATTTTTCAGTATATTTGCCTTCAACAAGTATTGTGCCCAATAATGACAATTCTCAATAAATAGTAATTTATCATCTCTAAAGAATATAATCCAAATGTATTTGTACATTTCCATGACAGAAATAGATCCATTCGTGACAGAAAGAAAAACGAGAGATCTGGCCTGGGTGAGTGGGTGAGTGTGGGGAAAACTTGTCTAGATTTTCAGAAATTTTCATAATTTAATTTGTAGGTCCATGGAAAGAAGCGGCAAGTGCTTCCTTTGCTCTGGGAGTTGTGAAACCTCATTACCGTGAATACGTGGTTACAGTTGTTTAACGTGGTTCTTCTCTGACACGCGTACTGAGAGATCTTTTTGACAAGTGTTGGAGTCTTCTGGGGCTCTGTGTTGGAGCTGGCCGAATAGTCTCTTCTCACCTAAACAAAAGCATAAGCATCTATTTTTAGTAACAATCGATAGTAATAATAATAGATGTATGTATGAAGAAAAATTGAAGGCAGTATGATGGCAATTATCTCTGGAAAGAGGATAAAATTATAAAAGAGTCGAATTTTATGTTATATAAATCTCTAATATTTAAATTTGCTATAATTAACATGTATTACTTTTGCAATCAGGAAAACAAAAAAACATGAAAAGGACCATCAATAAAATATCACTTTCCTATCCCATGAACTTATGTAGTTATCGTCTAAACCTTCTTCCTGAAGATTCTAGCACTATTGGTGAAAAATTTTGAATTAAGAGCTCACTTTCTTAATTTTTTCTTTATGAATGTTTATAATACCAAAAAAATAGGAACCCTCATTATTTAGCTTCCAGAACATCAAGGCTTCAATATTTTGAAATATTAGTATATAGACTTATTCATAAATATAGCTACCATTTATTAAGTGCCTAGGTCAGATTTTGTGTTAAGTGCTTTACATATGTTATTCTAATCTTCAAAACCATCTTATGAGGTAAGCACTATTGTTTTCTCATATTATAGAAGAAGAAACTGAAGCTCAAAAAGTGACTTGCCCACAGCCACCAGGGAGTAAGCAGAGTATCTAAGGGTTAGCCCAGGCCTGTTGATCCTATAACCCACATGAAGGACAATGAAAATCACAACTGTGACACTTACGACAAGCTGGTGTTTTCCTGTCATCTCCACTGGTTTTCCTGCTCCCATACATTCTATCAGCCAGGAGATGTCGAGGAGTTCTAGCTGTGAGCTGGTTTTTATATTCTGTACCTTAAGCCACTCCAGGACTTCTGAACCAGAGTTGTTTTCTGCCACAATGTGGGTGACAGAATCACTGCAGAATGCAAGACAAAGTTATGAGCTGAAGGGGCTTTCAAAATCAGAAGCTTTCCTCTTTCCTCGAGGTGTTCAGAGTGTTCCATCTGATGGAGAAAGATGCACACTAGACCTGACCATAGGCACGGAGAATTTAGGCCTCCATGCAGGGGAATTCTATTTTAATTACTGTAACAACAGTGGTTTATGTAACATGTCAGACGCAAGAAAAATTAAGAAAACATTAGGAAGATTGTGGCTGAGCCAGTAGGGACAACCACATTTTAAAAGATCTTAGAAGCCTGGTTGAGAAGGTTGGATCCTATTTTCTGGGACTGTGGAGTCAGGCTTTTGTGAGTAAGACATTAATAGAGTTACTGTGTTATTTTTAAAGACTAGTCTGTTACATGCAATGATTTGGAGGGGAGAGTGATGGGTATGGGAGGGTTGGGGAGCTAGCTATGTAGGAGAATGAAACAATGAACCAAAAGTGAGATGATTTTAACCCAGTCTGGTTCCTATAGCACTGGGAAGGAAGGCAAAGTAGACAAATGATGAGCCTCTGGCATTAGTTCATCTATAAAAGATAAAATGGAGGATAGAGTTAAATATTACTCTAGCGTGTTGATTCCAGTAAATTACTAGCATTTTTGCTAGAAATAGGGATTTAAGAAATTGTGTCTCTTTGGAGGAAAGGATTAGGAGACTGGAATTGAAGTTTTTTTAGGCATGTTGCATATAAAGGATGGCAAGAGATCCAAATAAAAATATCCAGTTGACAGTTGGGAGTTGAGGCTCGCTCTGGGAGAGAGATGGGGGCTGGGGATCAGAGCTGGGACCATCTGGATGACAGGACTTGCCACAGGGCCCAATGGGGAAGTGGGGGAGGAGTGTTGTAAAATAATCAACAGACAATATAATATACAGGCATATACAAAAGAAAAAGACTAGAGAGAAACGCTCCAGATTATTAGAAAAAATAATAACTATACTCACACACATGGACACACACATATACACTTGTCACTCAATATCCTCAGGGGATTGGTTTCAAGACCCCTCTCCCCAAATTCCCAAATCCTCGAGATGCAACTCTTATATAAAATGGGGTAGTATTTGCATATAGCCTTTGGACATCTACCCATATACTTTAAATCATCTTTAGATTACTTGTAATACCTAATATAATGTAAATGCTGTGTAAATAGTTGTTATACTATACTGTTTAGGGATCAGCTTTTAGGAATTTTAAAAATATTTTCAATCTGAGGTTGTCTGAATCTGTGAACGTGAAACCCACGGATACGAAGGGCCGACTGTACATTTTTACTTAAATCTCACAAGAGTCTTAAGAGGTGGGCAATCTAATTTCAGATGAGACAACCAAGGCTTGCAGAGTTTACATGAAGCCAGGATTCAAACCCAGGTGTGCATGACAGAGCAATCTCTTAACGTTCAACTAGACTGTGGTTAGACCCCTGAGCGAGCTTTTGTTTGTTTCAGTTTTTTTCCATGTTTTCTGTCATGAACCATCTATCATCACTTTTCTATTTAGGAGAAAATATACAAATGAATGTCATTTTCAAGGGCAAACAAACTTGGGGCTGGAGCTGAGGAAGTGTTTGCTTTGCCCCTGGGAGGCCTGGGCTTTCTTCTTCTTCTTCTTCTTCTTTTTAAAAAAATTTTTTTTATTAAGTTTATTGGGGTAACATTGGTTAATACGATTATAAAATTTTCAGGTGTACATTATAATTTTACATCTATATATTCTATTGTGTGATTACCACCCAAATGGGCTTTCTTCTTATAATGAAAGGTGACAGAGAGCCTCAGGCAGCTGCCCCCAACCTCTTTCAAGGACACTAAGGCACTGCTAAAGTGGCTGTTTCTGGAACACTAGTGGATTCAATTCCTTAAGTGCACCTAGATTTTTAGCCATGACTCTTTAATGTCTTGTAATAGGCTTGGGAGGCCTTGAACCAAGTATAGCAGTTCCGAACTGGAATTTGTCCCTTGCTTTCCCACAGAGAAAAAGATGCAGTGTCTTCTCCTTCAACTAGTGCTGAACTGAAATGTGCTCCTCATGATCATTGGCATCCTGAGGCCAGGGACAGTGTTGTAGTCTGCCTGGTTATAATCTGGGTTACAGTCACACCTGATGCCCGGCACATGCCCAGATTCATAGAAATGGTCAATGAATAGACCATTGGTAGAATTAATAAATGAACTGATTAATCAATGGCTCTAAAAGAATGTTTCTTAAACTCTAGTGTCTACCCAAGACATCCAGAAAGCTGGGCTAAATAAAATTCAGATGCCTGGGCCCTATTATCAAAGATTTGGATTTAGTAACTCTTACCTAAGGGCCCAGGAATATGCATTTTGACAAGCTCCCTTGGTGATTCTGACATAGTCCTAATTATTTATTGGTGTGTAACCAACAACTTCCAAATGTAATGGCTTTAAAAAGGCAATGATTTTATTATATCTGCAATTTTGTAGGTCAAAAATTCAGACAGCTTGGCTGATCCTTCTCTTCGGTGTGTTCTCAGTGGAGGCATTGATGTTCCAGATGGCTCCCGTGACTGGAGCGTTGGCAAGGATGGCTGGAAGGCTGGGCTCACCACATCTCTCCACCTGAACACCTTTGCATGGCCTCTCACAGAGGGAACTCAAACTGCTTACCCAAGGCTCTGGGATCCAGGGAATAGCAGAAGGCACAGAGCCTTCTTTGACCCAGCCTCAAAAGTCACACAATGTCATTTTTGGTTGAACCAGTCACAAGCTTTCCCAGATGCAATAGTCCCTGCCTCTCCATACAAACGCCCATATTTTAAAACCCACTCACAGCGCAAAATCTCCACTTTGAGAAACACTGCTGTAAAGAAAAAAATCTTTCGTTAACTGCCCTACACTGGACATCGGGCTCAATTACAGCTATGTTTCCCAATGTGGTACTCATTTCTCTGAAGGTACATGAGATAATTTTAGGAGGTTCACGACAGGACATTTTAAAAGCATGTATGTTTATTTATATCTGCATTTTTAAATTATGCATATCGGACAAGGTTTTTATGGGTTTCATGATTTTCATATCATTCTTTAGGACAAAGCTAAATTATTTTTAACAATTCAGTGTACAAACAATTAAAGAAGCATTAAGTATCTGACAACACATGTGGTAAAGATATTCTAACTATGAATGTGGCACTTGGATGTGTAAAAAGTTATTGAATTAACTCACAAATCTCAGTTCTGAATTTTTTCCCTCTGATACATGTCTTCCTTTTCCTAGTTGGTCTTGCCTCTCGATTTAATTAGAAAACCTCTCCATGAAGAAAGAGGCAGCCATCTTTTTTGCCTGGAGACAGACTAGCCCTGAATCTGACTTCCACAGTGCTCTCGGATGGTCACCTGCTCTTATCTTTGTCTTTATCTGTTCTCTTTCTCTGGAGAGGTCATCCTGATTCTTCCCATCTGAAGTGGGACTTATTTTGTAAATAATAACTTTAAATAGTAAATTACAGTTAAGCTAAGCTGTTCATAGTTAAAAAAAAAACAAAAAACTACCTGATTTCCCTTAGCAACAGATCTCTTTCAGAATTCCTGAAACAAAAAAATTGAAGCAGATTTATTTAGTTTTATCTCACACTCTTACTAGCATCAGTAAAGATAGGTTTCTATCTCCAGCCCTGATAGACTGAAAACTGAGAGGGTCTTGCTTTGATTTTTTGGCTACCTTAAATGGTATTATGAACATTTTCATTAATTTAAATTCCACAAGTTTTGAAACATAAAGCGATTCGAACCAGCGAAGAACTAAAGTTTACATTGCCTTCTCTTGAATTTTTAAAAGTAAAATCTTTATTATTTTGTTATTTACAAAAGTAATACTGGTGCATTGTGGAAAAAAATTAAAATTACAAAAATTAATCTTGGTAATCCCAAGTTTCTCTGGCTGGTTTCGTATTCACCAGATAAATCATTCTTTTGAGAAAATATTTCCTGAAGCCTACTATGTGTTAGAAAATTATCAAAGGTCTGAGACTGAGTTCTACAAGATGACGCCCTTGCCCTTGTGGAGTCACGGAAAGGTAATTAGATGAGACTGGGAGAAAGTCAAATGGTAGCGTTAGGGGTCAATCCCAGGCTGTGGATCGCACCCCTGCCCTAGGGAGGAATTCTTGCCTCTTGGAGGGTTTCCACCGGTCTTAG